TAGGCAGAAAGCAGGACCGATAAGTACTCTAGACTGCTCGTACGGGTTTTACGCGTCATTGGTCCGATCGATAATTCGCTGCTTCTGATTGGCGGCTTTGGGCTATAACAGTTAATGTCTAATTTGAACAAAGAGTTTAGCAGTTGAGTATATAGATTACTTCATTCTTCGTTAACTGATAGCTGTTAAAATTTCAGAATGTATTCAAAAATCCTATTTGTCTTTTATCGACTTATATTAATGAGTTTACCAACTTTCATCAACTTGAATAGTATATATAGGGAACTTTAAAATGACCACATTTTGGTGAACTGGAATTAAGACATCATCACTTTAATGATTTTATGTATCTTATCATTAGATATGTAGTGAACAAGAAGACAAGCGGGGATAACTGAGTGTATTTGAGCGCAAAATTACAGAATTTCTTAGTAAAATCTGAGAACTATACAGTAACTACTTTATTTGCAAAATGTCAATCAATTGTCTCAAACTTGACTGTTTCTTTTGCAAATATCAGTCAATCGTTTCAGACTTCATTGTTCCTACATTTCCATACCAATCATTTTTTGTTCTCGTTCTGTTTCGTTCGATTTTCTTAACCTTTTGCCTCTAGTCATTTCACTTTCGATTGACGATACATACTACTTATATCTATCGATATCAGTAGAATACACAACAGATATTTTGATTAAATACATCATATCATTATAAATATATGCAAGGAATATTACCCTACTACACATCAAACATCTTTCTCAGCCTTATTATCTGTAGGAGAGTATAATATTAGAAAGTATTTAAATTCTATTCTCTATGAAAACAATATCAGTTTATGATGGTTTTACACTGTTTCAATATTGAAAATATATAGTATATACTTAATGTTATATATCATAACCAATTTTCCCAAGTCTACTATTCTATAGTGTTTGCTTTCTTTTTCCTCCCCACCTGTATTGTTACATCACATGCATCGGTAAGATTATTCATGTGAACTAGTTCAACGTCTATATAACATATTACATATACATATTTACAATAATAATAATAATTTGTATGTAAATTCTTTCTATATGTGATACCTGAACAACTTGTCATTGAATTGACTTGATTCGATTTATTTCCTTTTTAGCTTTATTATATTTTATAACAACCAATACCTAACCACTTATTGTTACCCTTAACAATAATTGATTAATATTCTAGGTCATATGAAGGTGAATATAAAGATAATTTTATTGTCTAATCTTAATAGTACAGATAATCTTATTTTCATTTGTTAGTAGTTTCAATGTTTTCGTCTTATTGTAATGTAACTTCTACTGTTTCACATAGTTAACAAGTTTGTTTTTATTTGATGAAACTGTAATCAAGTTGTAAGCTTGTGATTGATATGGGGGGTTGTACAGATTGTTGAACTTTATGGGATCATGAACCAATGGAAGGTGGTCGTGTGATTTCGCGAATTGATTGAAGTTAGACTTATCTACCATTGGGTCCTAGTTTAGTGGTCTAGAGGCTAAACATTCACGATTGGCACTGAAGGTTTTGGGTTCGATTCATGAATGCGCACTACTAAGGAGTCCTATACTAGAACAAAACAGTGGTCTAGTGCTTCTAGGTTATCAGTGGTTGTTTAACTTAAATCGGTTCGTGATCTTAATCAACTTGTATGTTGATTAACATGAGTGAAGATGTGTGTTTTAGTGAATGATCAGGATGATTCCTGGCGTCTTAGTGTTGTGTTTGATAACGTCAATAACACCAGTCTATGTGGCTGATAGTCGTTAGCTTTAATTGTATAAGAGACTTCAAGTTGTCTTAGTGCTATCAGTACTATATCATAGTTGTTAACTTTTGTACTTTTCTATTAAAGAGAAATATTTAAGCCTTATGTGCAAACTGAACCTCGTAAATTCTATAATTATGAATTACTACTCTATTTATTAGTCTGTCTGTTGACAATCTCTTCTTATCAATCGGCCATTGTATCATTTAGTGAATGTTTCGCATGTATTCACTGTGATATCTAGACTATTTTAATTACGATGAATGTTTTGTGTGTCGCCTCTCTTCGGATAATATTCTTTCCTGATAAGTTCATGTTGAACGAATTTGAAAGATTGATTATAATATTTTCAAAACAACTTGCTTAATCGACATACTATTTACTAGTTTTTCAATAGATGAGGTTTTGAACCCACTTTTGACTAATTGTAAATCTTTTGTTTAATTTGTAATCCTATCAAAGACAATGAAGAATGTAGCATACTGTTACATATATTCAACGATTATGTTATTTTGAAATTAATAACATCTGGAATTCCATACTGAGTTAAACTAGTTTTTCTGTCCCCATAAGGTTTTCTGCACTAACCATAATCCACCAACTGTATGACTTGACATTTTCATACGGTCAGTATGACACGAAATCTTAAATATGTTCAAATTCTTCCTGAAGATGATCAAAAAGACACTACTTCTCTTTATAGTATTTACCTAGTTTGGCTATAATGGTTTAGATACTGAAAATCAAAAGGTTTATATTTCGTGAGGTAACCACAATCAGTGCTTTAAGACGTTTGCTGATACAGCTCAGGATTGCTCACAGTGGTGCGCTCACTTCCTCTTAATGTTGGGTCCCAATGCACCTTCATACGTGCATTTCCTTTAAGTCTTCTTGAACCATATTCTCACTGTTTGGTTTTTCTCGCATTCATAACCTTTATTTTTTAAATTTTTATTTGAACACAAATATTGGTACAAAGGGGCACCGAATACATGCGCCACACAATGAACTTGATACTGCTTGGGTGCCCAGACCGAACTGGTTGGTTTTATGGAGGGCCACACTTAGAGCCTTCGACCTAAAGATCTGATCCACAAGACAGTGGAGCAACGTCAGGAGATGCAATTCCATGGTATCCGGTGGCCGAAAATTGGTTCATACGCCATTTGTTCTCTCAGGATACCGAAACTCATGTGCATCATTGGGTTGGAATGAGGGTTTTCCAACTCCCCTAGGTAGACTCTCCGTGTCCACCAACCGGGCTAAAGCGCCGAACAACACCCTCACCGTGAAAAGGCAGTGAGTAGGACTTCCCTGTCAGTGGCTGTATACGCGTGGGCATCTGAGAGCATTTCGAGAAGGAGAGCTGACTCTCCCCACCCTCGGCCGTGCTACTACAATTCTTTCAACTGCTTAGCTATTCATGTTAATTTCATCCTATGTTTAGTGTATCGACGTGGACTAATGAATATTTATACCAATCAGTCATTCGTATGCAACGTATAACCTGGTACATATTTGTGTCAATTCAAGTTACCACATCACATTTATACAGCGAAATGATAATAATCAAGACAAATCACAGAATATTTATGTCAAACTTTGTGTTGGTTATTACAACTTGACCTATTAGTAACGTAACAGTTGTTGAAGAATCAGAAGTAATATAACGCCAAATAAAAACGAATTTCCTTTTCTCCACGATAATACGACCTGGAAAAAAGATTAAACTACTACTAGTCTCGATCGATAGGTTATATACAGGCTAAATATGGAAAACCAAAGTAGATTTATTCAGCGCAAATACTAGCAGTTCAACACACTCATTGAGTCTAGAGTACAAATCAATAATAGGAAAGAAGTCACATATTTAATAATAAATTTAGTGCCTGTTTTCCCACATTCAGTGGCCAATTACATTTTACTTTCATTGGCCACAAATCGAAAAGTTAACAAATTACTTACATCGTTATATTTATTATTCAATTATAATGGTGAGAACTCTGCCTGTAGCTCTTCTAGGGTTACTGCCGGTCCAAAGCCTGGGTGAAGGAAGAGGGTTGGGTATAGGGTCGGCAACCCTATCCTGTGGAAAACAACCTTGCTAAAAAAACGCTAACCAGAATAAACAAATTAAACCACTTGAACTCTTCCCTCCAAGTTGAAGGTGGAATTATGAAGCCTCATGATGAAAGCTGAGATTCTCCGGAAGTCGCGAAGCCGATGGCCTTTCTAACAACCAGAGCAACAATTAATATAGGTACATAGAATGTTCGAAAAATGTGGGAAACCGGGAGGACTGATCAAATAGCAACGGGAATGAGGAGATACAACTTTGCGGTTCTTGGAATCAGTGAAACCCATTGGATCCAAGCTGGACAGCTGGAAGAGGTGCTGCTGTACTTCAGTTACGAAGAGGAAAATGCTCAACACACTCAGAGGATTGCTCTGATACCATCCAAAGAACCACAAAATGCACTTATTGGATGGGAGTCTGATGGGTCCAGGATCATCGAAGCGTCCTTCCAAAGGAAAAGGGAGGGAATAAAATGAATGCTATCGAGTTTTATGCACCCATCAATAACAGCAACGACGGCGTTGGCGATCAATTTTACGAGAGGCTGCAATTGATCACAGCGAAGTGCCCAGAACTAGACCTGACAATCCTCATGGGAGATCTAAACGCCAAACTCAGAAAGGACACCAACGGTTATGAAGATATCATGAGGGGTAACAGACGTAGGGAAAGGATAATGTCGAGAGTTTACGTCCCTTTTCAAACTATTTAGTTATCTTCAAAATTGAATTCACGAATCAATCTAATCTAGACCACCATTGAAAAAAACATAGAAGCACTGGAAGGCCGTTTCGTCATCATGAATTCAACTTTGAAAATACTACAATCTCTACTAATCCTTAAAATACTTATCATCTATTCTTTAAGAGAATGTAATAATTGAACTACTATTCACTGTAAACTATTCTCCTCATCAAGTTTAGTTTTTTTTTAGTTTGTGTCATATAAATAACCAAAATTTGTTGGTAACAAATTAATTACTCCATTTTTATCAGAAGGGGTTTTGTGAATATTAACGTTTGCTCTGTCGTATTTTTGAGATTCACCTAATAGTGAATAGATCATCTCACTCATGCTTCACGTTGACGACTTCAATTTTGTGCATGTTTGCTATTTGTTTTAAATTGTATTTCTTTCTAAATAATGAATTCCAACCGTTTAAACTATAAACCAATGTAGATGAAATAAGTAAATACATATTGACTGGAAATCTTTGAAACTGATTGATCACTGAGTAGTAGGTGAGTAATGCTGTTCTTCCTTAGTCGTTATTGTGTGCGCTTCGGATTATTGCATCGATCAATGACGCAATATGTGACCAGTAAAGTCTCATCGTCACCTATATTCTATTTCGATGTAAAGTATATGAAAGGAATTGACAGGAAGTTGTGACTAGATTTCCTAGATTTTGTATAAGTTGGGACAAGACAAATTACAGTTGTTGAGTCACTGAGATTGTGTTGGATTCGTCTTAGTTGACTTATATTGAATACTGTGTATGTCAGTGTGTCGATTATTATACTAGTTGTTGAGGTCAGAAAAGTTGTTTGATGAACTCCCGCTGTACGGATGTAGTTCGGTAACCGATACACATATGTATCAGGTTGTATGTTGCTTGCTTATCACTGATTGAATGGATTACGTATAAGGATTAGTTTATCGTGTTTATCTATGTGAGTATGTGAAGCTGAACAGTTATCCAGTGTTCCCTAGATGTTTGGCTAGTACATTTTTTTAATAGTTGAGATCGTGAATCAATTGAAGTTAGACCACCATGGAAAACCTGGAATCACTGGACGGCCGTTCCGTCCTAGTACTCCACTTTTTGTCACACCTTAATTTTGACATTGTTAAGTGTAGTTGTTTACTGATTGATTATGTTCTTTAACAGACTACTAAGTTTGAATCTTTTTTAAAATCATTTTCCTTAGAAATGTACGGATAATTTATATGTATATACGTATCATATCTAATATATGGGTGTTATAATTAAACCAATTCTATTCGAATTATAAAATCTTATCAAGTTTCCTTGACAACTTCTTATCCATTTAATACATCAAGTCAAATATTGATTTTAAATTCTAATGATATCTATCGAAATTTAGCTTTTGAAGAATGTTTATATCATGAAAGTGAGAAACACTTGAAATATTTAAAGGATAAACCATCATGGTTTACAAAAATCTTATTATGGCGTAGTAATTCTTGTATTGTAATTGGTCGATTTCAAAATGCTTGGAAAGAAGCGAACATTCCATTGTTACATTCTAATGGTTGGAAATTAGCTAGACGTCATTCTGGTGGTGGTGCTGTTTATCATGATCTTGGTAATTTAAACATATCATTTATACAGCCTAGATGTTATATGGATAGACAGAAATGTATGGAATTTTTACAGTCGGTTTTACAACCATTATTAATTCCTTCAAATTGCTCTATACATATTGGCAATAGATATGATTTGTGGATTTCAGAAAATCAAACTAATACAAATACATTGCAAGTAAGTAAGTGTTGTAGTTTTAATTTTATTTTGAGATTAAACAACCGTTATCTTTTCTACATCATGATAAGCGTCTTAAAGGTGGGAAGAGGGATGAATATCACTTTTACAATCAATCGGTCAGTCAGTCAGTAACAACGTAAAACTTCGTACGTACGTATATCAGTTCGAGTTGCCATACCACACTAACACAGAGATGTAGTTGTCGATTCAAATCCCATAGTGGTAGAGGTTGTAAGAGTATAAGCAGTAATCGGAAACATTAGGGTTTGGAGATGTTATTTAAAGAGTATAATATAGTGAAATAAATTTGGAAAGCGAAAAAAGAGACAATGAGGAATCAGGAGAATACAAAGAGTGTATGCACCTGCGCCATTGCAAACGATTTTGAGCCATGTCATTCAAGGTCTCTAACCATCGGTTGCTATCATCTCGCGGTCCCCAACCAGGTAGTCTACACCTACCAACATGGCTCAGTCCACTTGTCAGTGACTTCATGGACTTGTGCCATGTTTTGGTCTGGCCGCCCCTAACTTTCTTCCAATCTACTCCTATACCACTGAACATAGCACGTCAAGGCAGTCGGTCGTTGGGCATATGTAACACGTGTCCCAGCCATCAATCGGACTACATAATCGTTGATTATTTCAGAGATAGCTTGTTTACCAGACACTATGTAGTTAACTTTATTAAAATTCTTTATTTGGCTACATTTGTAATCAATTAATTCGTTGGATTGTAAACCTATCTTGGTTGAAATTGTTTAAAGACATGGATTGATTCTTAACCTTTAACATCGGTTAAAATGTGAATGTTGAAATGAACGGACTATGAAAACAAAATTAATGGAATAGATCATAACTTATTTATTTCGAATAGAACGAGTAAATATTTCACAGATTTTATTTACTTGATGAATATTTCTGTTTCAACTAGTCAGTCAGTATAGTCTATTTATCCGTTTTCAAATAAGATCGATAAAGACATTATTATCAGTATAAGTTTATTGAGATTGTTGAGTTTTATTCAGACCACTAATTAATCTAAGACAGCTGTTCCAAACCTGAGAGCAGTGAACGAACATTTCGTTCTAGTGTGGGATCCTCAGCAGTGCTCATTCGTGAGGTAGTTACTTATCGAAGACAATAGAAGGTGGTCTCGCACTACCATGGATTTTCTAAAATTATGTTTGTACATCACTTGGTATCTGGTCAGTAGCTTAAAGGTTAGGCATTCACACGCGTGATTGAAGGTCCTGGCTTTGATCCCTGTATGCGGGTTTGTGGATTCGCGCTACTGAGGAATCCCATACTAGGACGAAATGGTCATCCAGATTTTCAATGGCCCATACGTGATCTTCGTAAGAGACTTTATTGTCATTACTTTGCTTATCTTCTCTTGCATAAATATTTTCTATTAAGACAGATTATTGTTGTGTAAACTCAGGATTAAATTGAATCTTACAGTCAACTGACATATCGACGTAAATCCAATCTATTAAAATATCGGCTAAAATTTAATTCTATAGTCAAAAGTTAGCCTAACAAAATATTCAACGAGATTATAATAGAGCTTTGCGAATGCAGCCAATCGCTAACGCGGGTATAAGAATGAATTGATTTAGCGCTTGTAGAGTAATTTTTTGAGAAGCCCACTTTTACATGAACTAGGCGCTGCATTTTGTCCACAGAGTCAATAAAAGATTTCAAATTAAATCGTTTATTTCAGAAAATGTAACACCATCAAATACATTCATCTGAATCGGCCCAAAAATGCTCTGGTACGGTCGAGGGTAGGGAGAGTCAGCTCTCCCTCTCAAAATGCTTTCACGTGGCCACGTGTATACAGCCATTGTCACAGAAGTCCTACTCACTCCGTTTTCACGGCGGGAGTGCTGTTTACGAAATTGAGAGGACGAAAAGCGAATGTTTGGCGCTTTAACAGGGTTGGTGGACACGGAGAGTCCACCTAGGGGAGTTGAAAAACCCTCATTCCAAACCAATGGTACACATGAGCTCCCGGATCCTGAGAGAACAAATGGCATATGAACCTATTGTTGGTCACCGACTATCATGAGACTACATCTCCTAACGTTGCTCCACTGCCTTGTTGATTAGACTTCGGGTGTGGTCCCCTAAGAAAACCACGTGGTTCGGTTTTGGCACCCTAGCATTATCATAGCCCATACACAAACCAAGTTCATTGTGTGGTGCGTATGTATTCGATGCCCCTTTGTACCAACATTTATATGTTTAAATAAATAATAAACCTTCCTCACCTTAGCTAGAAATATTGTTTTTGTTGGACTTTTCAGGGATCTTCTACTAAAAGATTCATCTGTTAACATAGAATATCCAGATGATAGTTCTGTATGGTGATAAGGTTAACCAAATACAAAGTCTTCTTTTCACCTTGAACAACAGTCTAATTATATTTGTAACACTTTTCTTCCCTTTGAATACAAAACGTTATTTCAGGATTCGTCTTTGTCATCGCCTAGATCAATCAGAAATTTAAGTACTAAACTACGTTGACCACTTCACTTATCTTCATCAATCTTGTAATCCTCGGATAGATTGATGTCTGACTAAACCTCCATTAGCTTTCGCCAACTGTTGTCAATGATGGCCTAGGAGGCATGTCTGTCTACTAACTAAAAGATGAGTACCCTGTACAGAAGTTAACTTTATATTACTTTATGACTGAGAACATAACAACAAGAAAACTATCCTATATATAACATTCAACCCTAAATGCAATTGATTATTGCGCAATTAACAATTAATCAAAAGTAGTTAGATAAAAGTCACTGAGCTATTAATTGCATCCTAGTCACATTACTAACTGTTAATGTATATTTATTGTTGAATAGGACTTTCATCGTTGTTATTTTTTTCTTTTAAATTATAGAATATGTCAAAAATATCCGGCTCTTCATCGAAATTCGGTGCTAATATGGCATATCATCATTGTACATTACTTTTTGATGCAAATTTAAACAATTTATCTGAAGTACTGAAGCCAACTTTTGTAAGCTGTTCTCTTTTTCTATTGTCCATATATATGTATTTAGTTATTCTAACTCATTTATCAAGTACTTGATTGGAAGTAGTCAACAGAAAAACCTGGAGCTAGGTTTCATGCTACTTGGCACTCGTCAGCAAGGTGTACCTGTAATCTTGAGGGAAATGATGCTCCCTGACAGATTCGATTCTGTGTCACTCAGCTTTACAGTTAGAGACGTTACCACTGAGCTATCCGAGCCGTGACTAACCTCCTATATGACTGAGATGTATTTACAATTGATTGATCACTGTGTGGTGATCAGTGTGATGTATATCAGGTCCTTCCTAGTGCAGACATATTGTTTATGTGAGATGCTTTTCTGGTGGACGGATGGAAGACTTCAAACTTTCTTAGTGTTGCATATCGATTTAATGGTAAAAGCACAGTACACTGACAGATCAATCAAATTCAACTACTGCATTAACGCGGTGATTGGGCTTCTATTTCGTGGTGATCTAATCGACCTGTATTGTCTAGAACACTCGTTCCTTTATGCTTTATTATTCCATCTAGGTCCATAAGGTCAGAGGACGTATTCATACAGTTCATTGTACAGGGTTGTGACCACAACAATATGTTTAAGATAATCAGCGTTTTCAGCGATCGCGCTTTCTCATAACTAAAGTAGAATGTCAGAAAAGGTCTATCTACACCATATCTTATCTCACTAATTTCCGTCTCCGGCGATGAGGTCTTCAAAGTATGGAGCTGAGATATCAGGAACTACTCATAGAATGCATTGTGAGTGATCCCAGTAAGCTATCGTTTAGGCTCTAGAATTATTCTCCCAGGTTGTTTAACAAACATACGGCTTAATTTCATCATTATGTCCCTCAATATTAAGTATCGTTCCACTGTTCGAGGAACCGGAAATTGACATACCTTTAACAGTACATGAAATCGTTTATTTTTAACAATCACGTCCCTTCTTCCCTTCTTAACATCTCTTCTGTTTATACCCTATCAACCTTTACCTTCTTCTACATATGCCATGTTTAGATTAAAAGTATTTTGATAATTATAGTTTAATGAATACTTTTTTTTAACAACCTCAGATTAATAAACTCATAAGGCTTATTTTCTTGAGTCATTATTTAATAACCATTAATTAATCAATCAATTGGTCAGCATTGTAGGATCTGATACTAATACACATCAACCTTAACATTAGCACATCATATCATCATACACATTAAAAAATGAGTAAAGTATTAATATACAATGAGATTTGAAACTTGACTTAGAAACTGAAAAATCACACACACACACACACACACTCAATTAATCTTTTTAACCAAATTAACGAAGTGATGGTATTATATTAGAAAGAAACTATTATTAATAGCATTCTACAGAATACAACAAATCAATCAATTTTGGAATTATCTTGACAATACTGGTTTAAAGATTATTTCTTTGATAAGTTTATAAAAGTAAGTTGATATTTTAATTGAAATCATGATTTAATCAATGTTATACCACTATTAAAAATCTGGAATTACTAGTGCTCATCCACAACCCCGCACGCTGAACTCGGACCCAGGATCTTCGGTTTCGTGCACTTAACACTTCTAGACTTGTAGTGTGGTGTCGAGTCCCAGTTGACTATGAACACCACTACAAAGAAACACGTGCCAAATAAATCAGATTGCGAATGGGGATTTGAACTAAGTTTATTTCGTTGGCGATCTCGTGGTATCGAACGAATACTGAGGTCATGCCAAGAAAAAGTACAAGCGGAGTGGGCAGGAAAAAGTACGTGCGAAGGAGGCCACGAACCGCGAGACAGTAATGGAGATTAATAGAAGCACAAAATGTCTGTCATTAGCACAGTTAAACAAAAGCACATTAAAACAAGCACAGGTACAATTGGTTATAATAATAATAATAATAATAATAATAATAATAATAATAATAATAAAATAATAATAATAATAATAATTGTTTTCATTAAACTAATCGCGTTCTCGTGATAAAATTAAGTCACTACAGACTATTGAGCCTATATTCAATGGTGTTAATGTGTAACTTCAATCAACCCACGATGTTGATTGACCATCTTCCATTATCTTTGATAGGTAACTGATTCACATCTGACATGGTTGAAATTCACTGGTCATGACTTCTCACTAGAACTACGATAATGACCTTTTGAATCTAGTCACCAGTGAGCACATGATAATTGTCAATATAGGGTTATGGAGACTATTAAGTTTTAATTAAGATCATAAAGTGAACTGATATCTGTTTAGTTAGGTTATTTATAATATCTTACATATGCTTAAGTAAAATGAATTTTACAGTTGATTAAATATTTTTTTAATATCATAGTAATAAAATTACGCAATCGATTATTAGGTGGATTCGTGCTTATGGAAACTAACAACTTAATTATTTCCTTCATTAGGTGAGACTGTAATTTATGGACAACCTTCAGGCGACGCTGAAGTGACCTTGAGAGTTTCCACCTAGTAACCAGGACCAAATTAGGGTTAGGAAATATTATGGGAGATTAGAGTTATGATTTACAGTTGATATTTAAGGTTAGTGAATTAGATTTAGAGTTTCATCACGAACTGACATAAGCTATAATGCCGAAACTCAATTTATCCAAATAGATGGGTGAATTTCGCGCCAAAATCCAAGACCTGTTATCTTATACCTGATTGGTTTGTCCATAAATTATAATATTGCCTTGTTTTACTACTAAAAAGAAAACGGATAAACAAATAGTATAACGAACTACCTGTCCAATAATACTTTCTTATTTCCAATGGTATCATCTTAATTGTGATCACTGTCTATAACAAAATAACATCTACAAATTAACAAATAGTATTCATAAAACTTCTACATCAAATTATGGTTGGTTTATTTGATTAAGGTTATAGAGATTAGTTCACTTTTTAATTATAGTTCTCATCAGCTTGAAGCGGTTGTCTTTTGAAAGATAACTACTTTGTCATAAATTTAATGTATTCAGCATTATATATCTGTTGAGATTATTTATTTATTTGAACACATAAATATTGGTACAAGAATGCGCCAAATATATATGCGCCACACAAAACAATGAGAATTTAAGGGGAAGGAGAAAAAAAAGAGATTGATATAAAGTGGTGTAATGATAATAATGGTAAAAATGGCGGAACAGAGAACATGTCCAAGCCACCGAAGTCGGTGTTTCAAGATGATGACACCAATTGAATTATCATCTCTGTGCCCGAACACACGATGCCGAACCTCTGCATTACTGACATGGTGTTGCCACTGGATGTCAGCAATCCTTCGGACAAAACGATGATCGAACACAGAGATTCGTCTCACATCCTCAACTCGGAGAGGCCAAGTTTCACAAGCATAGAGCAAAACTGCTCTCACCGACGCGTTGTAGATCCGAACTTTCACAGCCAGACTAACATCACGAAGGCGCCAATGATGGCCCAGATTGACATAAGCCACTCTGGCTTTCATTATACGTGTATTGATCTCATCACTCACGCCACCACCAGCACTTATGCAGCTACCTCGATGCACGAACTTCTCGACTATTTCTATCTGCTCACCATCCAGGGTGAGTACAGGATTAGAATCCTGCCAGTCTTGTAGAAGTACTTTGCACTTCGAAGGTGCAAAGCACATACCATACCTACGGACACTGATTGTCAACTGATTAAGTGCGGATTGCATGGCTTGGGCATTATCGCACAGTAAGACAATATCATCCGCATACTCAAGGTCGAGAAGTCTTTCTCCAGGCAACAGATCCACACCGCCATTACCTACATCCATCAGAGCTGTTTCCAGAATGTCATCGATGGCAAAGTTGAAGAGGAATGGTGAGATTGGGCAACCCTGTCTAACCACACTGCTCGTATGGAACAATGGAGAGAAGTGGTTGTATGCCCTCACTCTGCCTGAGGTGTTTTTATATAGGGCTTTTAGAATGTTGGGATATTCAGAAAAAAATCCCAAAAATTATCCTGTTAAGTCTAATGCTATCCTTGCACGTGAAATGGTGTCATTTTCCTATTGGTCAATATTTATGATAATCCTAACTTCATAAATATGCATTTGTCTGCAAAGTATCATTCCTATTCCTATTCTTATTCTTCTCCTGACCCCATAAACAATTTCATCTACGGTTCGTGTTCTGATATATTGGAGATTGCGGAACAGTATTAGGGTCGTACTAGGATATCTGAGGTTGGTGTGTCGGTAGAAATTAGAGTAGGCACCCCACGGTCCACAATAATATCCATGGCCATTACAGGGTTGTAAGCGAACTGATGTAGTGAGTAATAGTTTAATCAACTGGGATGTTAATGATACATGAAATCGATCTTTTTTCCCAACTGTGTATGACATGTATTCATCACATTTTAAGAAGAACTATACATGCCTAATTGTAATTATGTCTTTACACAGTAACTTAATGAATTACTATTTAGTAGTTGAATTCATTAGTCAATTGAAGCTAAACCACCATGGAAAACCTGAAAGCACTGGACGGCCGTTGCGTCCCATTATGGGACTCCTCACCAGTGCGCAACCACGATCCCGCCCAGGACTTATCAGTCTCGCAACTCAAACCAATTTATTAAAATCTGACTGTTAATCATATAAAATGTGATTTATTCTTCAATCATTTCGACTTATTTTGGAAGTCAAATAAATTTTTATCAACCAGTTTTAGGTTTACGCAGTTCGCGCATTTTCTCTTTTGTTCAAGTTGTTGTGTAGATTTAGTTTGGGGTTATTAGAAGAGGTTAGGAAATCAAATCGAATGTTCATTTTAAAAAATGTATCATTAACATTTTCATTTGTCGTAATAATATACCTTATAATTAACTGATTATTCACGTAATTGCGTATGAGCTAAACCATAAACACAAGAGGTTATGATATTACTCAGTTGTCGAAACCAAAGTAGATGGATAGGGGTTTGAACCTAGGACTTTGCGACTGAAGATCGGACTACTTACCAACTAAGCCACTAAACCGCAAATTTGTGATAAATAATTAATTCAGTGTAATCCATGAAAAGATAAAAACCTATCATCCGTCAGTGATACAAATAAAAATATAAAGCTATATAAAAGAACTCAAACCCAATACCTAATAAATAATATTTTATTTGAACACATAAATATTAGTACAAAGGGGCACCGAATACATATGCACCACACGATGAACTTGATTTGTGTATGGGCTGTGATACTGCTCGGGTGCCCAGACCGAACCAGGTGGTTTTATAAAGGGTCACACCCAGAGCCTTCGACCTAAGGTCTTATCCACAAGGCAGTGGAGCAATGTTACGAGATGCAATCCCATGGTGGCCGGAAATTGGTTCGTACGCCGTTTGTTCTCTCAGGTTACTGAAACTCGTGTGCATCATTGGGTTGGAATGAGGGTTTTCCAACTCCCCTATGTTGATCCTCTGTATCCACAAACCCGGTTCAAGGGCCGGACATTTGCTTTTCGTCCTCTCAATTTCGTAAACAACGCCCGTGGTATGAGAAGGCAGTGAGTAGGACTTGTGTCCGTGGCTGTATATGCGTGGCCATATGAGAGCATTTGGAGTGGGAGAGCTGACTCTCCCCACTCTCAGCCATCCCAGAGCATTTGGGGGCAATTATCCACAACACGAATATGTATAATAATCCCAAGTTCCCGAAATTCCACATTTCATTTATCCATCCTTGTCTAATAACTAACTTTCCAATTATCTATATAATGAACAAGACTCAGGTAGCGGAAACCAATCTATAGTTTAATACAAAATTACAGAGCTCTTTAGTACGAATCATACGAATCATACATTGAATACTTCATTTTTAAATCTATCAATTGAACTTTAAATTCTATATGATTCTTCTAATTTCACAATTCCTTTCTATTTTCTTCAATTCAATCTTCTTAGCCTTCTGCTGTCAGGTTTTTCAATTCCGATTAGTGTGACATACTATTTATATCGACATGCATCATTTCTTGAATATAGAAATTTTATTCATTCTTTTTTATGATCCTCCAGTTTTAAAATAATATCATAAACATGATCAAACTTGTTTGTAAACGTATTTATGTTTTGTCACAATTGATTGATCACTGGGTGGTGATCAATGTCATGTGTGTCAAGTCCTTATTTAGTGCAGATCGAATGCTATCGACCATGTTGCAATGTGGCCACCAGTTTAGGTGACTCGACATTGCGGGCACTATATATTGAGATTAGATGGTGGTTGAAGGTAGTCGACAGGAAACCCTGGACCTAGGTTTCGTACCACTTGGCACTCGTCAGCAAGGTGTACCTGTAATCTTTAGGGAAATGATGCTCCTTGACGGATTCAATTCTGTGTCACTCAGCTTTACAGTTAGAGACGTTAGAGACCACTGAGCTATCCGAACCGTGACTGATCTCCTATATGACTGAGATGTATTTACAATTGATTGATCACTGTGTGGTGATCAATGTCATGTGTGTCAAGTCCTTATTTATGTTTTGTTATGTTATGTTTTGTTCTCAGATAAATTTAAAAACCAAAGCAACGGATAGCATTCGAAGTCCAGTGAAAAATTTAAATTTAAACATTGAACTACTTTTAAATACAATCATTGAAGATGGTTTAAAATGGATATCCAGAGTAATAATAACTTTTATTGTATATTTTAAATTATAATTTTAAATTGTAAATGTATGTTTTCATTGTGTTTAAGTATCTTTTGTTTTTCTTATATATTGAGTTAAATGCCCCCTACAAATGCCCTGGTTCGGTCGAGAGTGGGGAGAGTCAGCTCTCCCCCTTCAAATGCTCTCAAATGGCCACGCGTATACAGTCACTGTCACAGAAGTCCTATTCACTGCCTTTTCGCGAAGTGGGTGTTGTTTACAAAACTGATAGGATGAAAAGTGAATGTCCGACGCTTCAACGGAGTTAGCGGATATAGAGGATCCACCCAATGACTTTGGAAAACTCGGATTCCAAACAGGTGGTACACATGAGCTCACGGATCTTGAGGGAACAAATGGCATATGGACCTATTGTTGATCACCGACTATCATGAGACTACATCTCCTAACGTTGCTCCACTGCCTTGTGGATTAGACTTCGGGTGTGGTCCCCTAAGAAAACCACGTGGTTCGGTTTTGGCACCCTAGCATTATCACAGCCCATACACAAATCAACTTCATTGTGTGGTGCATATGTATTTGGTGCCTCCTTGTACCAATGTTTATGTGTTTAAATAATGATTTAACTGTTAATCAACCTAATCTTCTTTGATGATAAATAGATTTAGTCTAAATATTATCCCTTTGTCTAGTAGTTTTTACTATCGCTTATTTCAGTAGTATTTCTAGTACTACTTCTCTGGTACTTATCTTAACAATTTCATCTTGTTGTATTAATATATTGTAGCAAATTGAATCGATTCATGTTTGTGTATGATTCTACAGTGTTTATAACTAACTGATTGATTGACTTATTAAACGGTAGAATTGAATAACATTCTTTTCAAAGACACTAAAAACTACACAAGTGAACCATACATCTCAAAAAAGTACTTTTTCACCAATAGTAGATCACTGTAGTCAATTCCAAGTAAATACATCCGTATATCAGAAGGGGTTTTGTGGAGATTGTAGTAATTTAAACAGTTGAGATCATGAGTCAATTGAAGCTAGACCACCATGGAAAACCTGGAAGCACTGGACGGCCGTTCCGTCCTGTTGCCGGACTCCTCAGCACTGAGCATCCACGAACCCGCCTCATGGGGTCCGAACCCAGGACCTATCAGACTCGCGCCAGGCGCTTAACCAACTAGACCACTGATCTGGCCGGCATCCAACGGTGTTAATGTCTAACTTCAACTTACCCACGAAATTGAGCGACACATCCACCGTTGTCATCAATGAGTTACTACCTCACAACTGACCCGGTTGAACTCCACTGGTCCATATGTCAAGTTTTTTCCCTTTACTTTTTACCAAAATAAATTTTTTTGTTTTTTTAAACATTCTAAACGATCAAGCTTCTGGGCGTTTTCCATAAACAAAATTGAATACCCCACAACAGGTTGTATATTCTTTTAGGTATAAGGTTTTGTTAATTTGGTTTTTAACTTTTAGTTTTTTTAAAAATTAACGGGGATTAATTTTTAAATTTTAATTTAAAAGAAAGAAAATGGGTTTAATTAAACTTCTTTTTTTTTTTTTTTTTTTTTTTTTTTAAAAAAAGAATACTAATTGACTCGCTACTACGTGCAATGTTTCACCTTTTCGTTTGTCTATCTATCTATACTCTGCCTGGAGTCCCTCCGGGGGCTACTGCCGGTCCCAAGCTCGGATATAGGAGGAGGCTTGGACATGGGGTTAGCGACCCAATCCCGTAGAAAACTAACTCGCTAAAAAAACGCTAACCAGAAAATCTATCTATAGTGCTCAATGAAATTGTATTTAGTTAATCATGGTTACTAAGTGATAGTGCGGTGCATCCATGTAAGAACCATACTGTATTCAGTGATACCACTGATCAACTGAAAGAGAGTGAAGTTTCATAACGAATTTAATTACCATTTCACACAGAAATATACTAAATCCGGTATAGAATATAATGGATGAGATAGTCTTTTCTTGGTTTTGTCTTTTCTTAACTTAGTAATCTCATGAAACTCAATGTTCAATGTTCAATAATCAAATCGACTTAGGAATTCTTATGTAGAACGAAATATATATTTCTTTTCTGTTATTCTTTAAAATGCTACTAAACTCTATTTTGATTCAGTAGTATACAAACGTTTTGAACAAGAACATTGTTTTTTTTTTCTTTTTCTTATTTGAACACTTTTCCCCCAATAGAATGATTTGATTACATCTAACCCTGTTGTAACCAATATATTTGAAGGTCAAGAAGATCAATTTATCCATTCAATGAAAGATTTTCAACAAACATTAACATTGTCACAAACATGGTCATGGATTTATGGTAATTCACCAAGTTTTCAATTAGCATTAGAAAATTATGAACCTAATCTATCTTATCTTACTAATCAATTTGGTTCCATTGTCATAGATTGTAGTCGTGGTGGAGTTTTTAAATCTATTGGATTTGATCATTCTCATAATTGTATTGTAGATCCTTTATTGAAAGATTTTTTATCAGAGTTAAGTATATGTCTTCATGGTGCAGAATGTCGAACTAATTCATGGGATTTTATATTGGATCAATTTGTATCTAAGAAACTAATTCAATTGAATGGTGAAAATATGTCTAATGAACAATTGTTAATAATTAAGGCGTTAAAAATGATTTCTAGTCTATTTTAATACGATTTTTATTGATTAAAACCATATTTCTAGTTTACTTTTATTGTGGAACACATTATGTACAAGAGCAATTTCTTTTCATATATTCGAAAGCGTAGTTGGGTACTTGTTATATCTCAAAGCCGTCGATGGATGGGCAGTGACTTATCGACCGGATCAAGGGATTCAGAATCTCGATAGGCTATTCTTGTCCGTTGTCCCCGACTCAGCTCACTCGATCAAAAATTCTTGGTAAGGCGTAGAAAGTGTATTCTACAGGCAACCAACAGATACCAGGTCAGGTCAGGTCAATCAGGCACACAATTCAAACGTATATATATATATATATATATATATATATATATATATATATATATATATATATATATATCTTCATGGAGTTAATATGTGATTCAGAATCGAGTTATATTGATTAATATGATCATGGAGACTCTGTGAGATTGAGTTTTCTAGTTTATATCCACTGATCTTAATGATACAAATATTCGAAACTAGTAATAACTAGACAGCTGCTTTGTCCTAGTATAGGCTTACTCAACAATGGGCGTACAAAACCCCATCGGTGATTGAAGACAGGATCACACGATGAGCTCCCAACCTTTAGACAGTGTTTCTAACTTCAATTGATTCGCCATATTATGCAACCTATCAGACATGATTAAACTCTACTAGTCACGATGTCTCCCTAGAACTAAAATTTTCTCTTGAGAAATAATGCAGACTGCATGGTCTGAATGTTACACATTCATCAGGAGCCCTGAAGGTTGAATATTTTATATCATATGGAGTCTTAATATAGAATTCGGAATTATTACCAAAATTTGACACCAGTCCATGAAGTCATCGACTCTTAGAATGAGACTTCTAGGTAGCTGTAAACTACCCGGTTGCCTACTGCACGATTATCGTTACCAGTGTTACACATGTTGGATGATGTGAATCGAAATCGGTCTAAACACATCCACCTTTTTTCTTCCCTTAGATCTTACACTTTTTTATTTCATAAATTCATATTTTCGAGAGTCATCTCGTTTATGCCTGTTGTCTTTTACTCTTACCGATACTGTCGCTACTACTACTATGTCATTAATCTTGATAGTTTCATCTTATATGTTGATGCGATATGTCGGCTTGATTGGTTGCACATATATGCCAAGTTCTATGATGATTATGGATGACTGATGCAGACTTATTTAAATTCTTAAAGTCTTCATCTATTAAATCTTAAGCGATTGCACAACTATTTGTAAATTTAGATAGATTTCCATTTTTAATTTGTATATATGAAGGGTTAATTTCCTTTTATGACAAAAATTCTTCATATAACTCATTTTGGAATTATTTTCTTCCGTAAAGTCGTAGACTTCTGGGTAGTTTTTTTTTTCTATATGGAAACAAAAACGCTATATAAACAGTCATCTAAATGAACTTCTGACGTAAAATCAAAACCAGTTTATGAAGATATTAACCAGTATGATGGCCGGTATTTTTTATTATTAGTAGTTTGAGTGAAACATAAATGTAAAGAATGCTTTAAAATTCCTTATTGAGAATTTGTACCGTTAAACATGTGACAGTAATAATGATGAATACAGACTTCAGAAGAATTCAAACAATCGATTACTCTTTAGTCAATTCAGTTCGAAGGAATTCAAAGATAAGATCGTTTACTACTTTACATTGCTGAATCATCATCTTTAATTTTTTACAGTATTCAACAATTAAAAAACCCACTTCTTTGGGAACTTATTCAAGTTTCTTGTGAACTATGAGACAATTAACATTCGATATTTGAAAAAAAAAACGATAATCACTGATTAGTCACTAGTTCCGATTGATCGACTAATTCGTAGTCAATACATATATATATTTATTCATATAATCACAAGTCCTATGAGAGGTCGGTCGCATCCCGAGTAGCTCAGTGATAATGTTTTGGGTGACGGGTTCAAATCTCAATATCGCAAATATGCTCTACTGATCAGTGCCAATCAATATGAAACCTAAGCCTAAATTCTCTTATCAAAATGTAATCTTCCTTTTCAAACGCATACCGTTTGAACATACGATTCATTAATTAAGTACTTAATAGCTTTTTTGTTGTAATAGGAGATTATTCTGATGTATGACCCTACAGGTGAATGCATAACGTTCTATAACTTGTGACCATGGATTCATATTTTTAACTTCAAACAATCCGTAATGTAGTTTGGTCTCCATCTAATATCAACAATTGATAGTAGCTATCTTTTTTAACTTGATCAATTTAATAAATTGCACCTTCCCAAAATTATATCATGGATTGGTGAAGTACACGACGGTTACCATAGATATTTTTACAACCAACTACTGACAACTGTATATCCTCAACACTAAAAATAATAATAAAAAAAATAGGAAGAACTCAAAGCATTTTTATTCAATTACTATTTAGTCTTTCTTTTGAATGGTAGACAAATTAATAAAACAGCAAAGAGAAAAAATACCACAAATTGACAAGGTAACACATTTGCACACACAAAAGAAAAATTACTCAACAACTAAAGAGCAAATCAAACAAAGTAATCAGAAAATAATAAATAAATATGATCCAACTGGCAAAAGAACAATTCAAATGGATCAATGTACATATACATATGTATAGAAAAAAAAAGAGAAGAAAGAATCGATTTGGTTCATGGAACAAAACAGGGAGATTGATCGATCATAAGGTGGATACTTACATTTGAGAGGGAAAAGAAACAAAAACAAAGTTATTTTTTCACACCATTTGACCAATACAAATAATGATGATAGAATCAATAGGATTAAAATACTCAACAATATACTACTAACTATGAATAGACTATTGATATTTATCAATATACAATGAAAAGAACTATTGACGAGTAGACAGTACACACACAGAGAGAGAGAAGAGATGCCTCATTTATTTGTATTCAGCATTGACGAAGCTCGATGCAATAATTACTCAAAGTAAGGAAATAAATGCTATGAAATAGTTTGACAATAAAGAAGTCATTTGATAATAGATATCAAGGAACAACAACAGCAAAAATGTGAAATATTAAAGATATGGAATATATATATCATCTATTACCGAACACTGTCATCTAATAATCATGGCAACAATAGAATGATGATAATATATGGATCAATAATAATGAATGTGAAGATATTAGGAAACTTTAAATTGAAAAGGATATGTTCACTTCAAACATGACACTGGTTACGACTCATTTTTATTATTATTATTATTGTGGTGGTGGTGGTGAAAATTTGACATGATGGAACTAGTGATAGTAAGTTAAGTTAAATTGTAAAGTATCAAAAGTAAGTAGACATAAAAAAACACTGTACATACTATTACTCTTATTACATAATCATGATGATATGTATATGTATATTATAAGGAAGGGGGAGAGATTGTGTGTGTGTGTGTGTGTAAGGAACAATGATTCAAAATACAAAAATGTTCTCACATTTTATTGTCATTTGAGAAAAACAGAATAAAAGGCATGATTTTGTTACTTGAGATCAGAAATTTACTATACACATACACACACCACACAAACCAACCAATACAGGATGAGAGAGAGAATAGAACTAGAAAATACAATGGACAATTTCAAATTCCATATTTTTCGACGGAGCATAGAAAGGTAATCATAAGTAAAATAGTCTGGTTGGTAATAATGATGATATGTAATTGTATGCTTATAAAAATAAGACAGAATATACGCGAAATGATATCGCTGGTTGTGATAATCCACTACTAACTAGCCATAACGACAGGAACAATAACAACAACAAGACTTATCGAAATAAACACAAATTTAATTATAAAAGTTTAAGGCACATTTTCCAGGTCAGGATCAAGAAGAGGACATACACACACACACACACAACATAAAAACAACAACAGTGAAACGAAATTGTATCATATTCTACACACAAAAAAAAATTGATGAATTCTTGAGATTTTAGCCACTGATATGTATGTTTTACAATGAAGACTGAATCTAACAGTATTATTGAAAGAAAATTATAAATAGTCAACGTATCAAAATAATTACCAGGAGGAGGTGTGTGTGTGTGTGGGAGGGGGTATTTTTCAAGTAAGTAAATAGATAGATCATATTTTGACAATTCACAAAACCGGAAATAATAGTTGCACAAGAGAAATATTAAGTAAGTTCATGTTGGATAACACATCAATGTTGATGATGGATTGATGAATGTTTCGGAGTAATTAATTTATCCATTGGAAATGAGACAATTAATGATGCCTCTTGCATAGTGATTTGTTGTTTTCTGTACAGAAATAGAAAATGGAATAGAAAATTTCTTTAATATATATACTATTCCTGGATTATAAATTGCCTCAGTCAGTCGATATTAAACAAGGTAGAACCTAGTATGTATGTGCAATCTCAACTAACGTTATTGACTGTTGGTTACAACCTTAACCACGTATTTCCGGTCCAGGCCAATATTCAGTAGTCTTCTAAACTGATGTTATATATTAATTTAGCCGCCCCTAGCTTTATTCCAACATAATCTTACACCAGCGAACGTGCTTGCAAGTAGAATACACATCATGAGGGCCAAAACCACTGTAATAGGTGAAAATTCAATATTTGTCAACTAATTTCTCATCCTACGTTTAGGACTAACAATTTTTATCCGATAGTTCCAGGAGAAATTAGCAATTATTTGAAGACGTCAAACATTAAGAACAAACCCGTTAGGATTCCAAGATAATTGAAGTGGCAAGCGCGACCAAACACTTCAATCTACGGTACCCCTCAAGACAGAACACAAGCATTAAAACCGTTGGACGCCGGCTCAGTGGTCTAGAGGTTAAGTGTTCGCGCGCGAGACCTATAAGTCCTGGGTTCGAATATCGCGAGGTGGGATCCTGGATGTGCATTGCTGAAGAGTCCCGCAATAGGAAAGACGGCCGTCCAGTGATTCCAGGTTTTCCATGGTGGTCTAACTTCAATTGATTCACGATCTCAACTATTAAAAAAATGTACTAGCCAAACATCTAGGGAACACTGGATAACTGTTCAGCTTCACACACTCATAGATAAACACGATAAACTAATCCTTATACGTAATCCATTCAATCAGTGATAAGCAAGCAACATACAACTTGATACATATGTGTATCGGTTACCGAACTACATCCGTACAGCGGGAAGTTCATCAAACAACTTTTCTGACCTCAACAACTAGTATAATAATCGACACACTAACATACACAGTATTCAATATAAGTCAACTAAGACGAATCCAACACAATCACAGTGACTCAACAACTGTAATTTGTCTTGTCCCAACTTATACAAAATCTAGGAAATCTAGTCACAACTTCCTGTCAATTCCTTTCATATACTTTACATCGAAATAGAATATAGGTGACGATGAGACTTTTAAGTTTACTGGTCACATATTGCGTCATTGATCGATGCAATAATCCGAAGCGCACACAATAACGACTAAGGAAGAACAGCATTACTCACCTACTACTCAGTGATTAATCAGTTTCAAATATTTTCAGTCAATATGTATTTACTTATTTCATCTACATTGGTTTATAGTTTAAACGGTTGGAATTCATTATTTAGAAAGAAAATACAATTTAAAACAAATAGCAAACATGCACAAAATTGAAGTCGTCAACGTGAAGCATGAGTGAGATGATCTGTTCACTATTAGGTAAATCTCAAAAATACGACAGCAATCGTTAAGCATTTGTCGATAAACCTGGATACGATCTCAAATTTGGTCCTGGATGTGCACTGCTGTTGAAGAGTCCATATAATAAAATGGAACTGTTGTTCAGTGCTTTATAGCTTTCAATAGTTATTTTAGTAAAATCCATATAACTGACTCATCGTAATTTATATTCGTATTACCTATTATTGATATGATATTCTGATTTCCGACCATCTTGTAAACGACGATGACGACGAGGAGTTGACATAGCTGAATGACTAGAAATTACTGGTGCTTGATAATAGTGAATAGATTCAGGTGAATTCGTTGTTGACATTATTGTTGCTACTGTGTTTGTTGTTGTTGTTATATTATCATGATTATTAGGTTGACTTTTATTCAATGGTAGACGAGCATGAGATGAACGTGAACGATGAGGAGATGGAGTAGATTTTTTATAATCTTTACTTATCTGCTTAGAATTCATGTAAATAGCAGGTGTCTGAAATATTAGAAAATACAGGCAAGAAATTTCGATTTATGAATGTTACATTTACGATATTAGATTTCCATATTAGTAACAAGTTAAGTTTGTTTGTCAAAAATGTAAAAAAAAAATTCTAAAAACCAAAGTGTACATTATTGATATATACTGACCAGTATGACCGTCAGGAACTATTCTGTTATCCCAAGAAAAAAAAGGCAGATTACTTATGTTTTACATGGTCCTGTGTGATCAGGGGCACTTCAGTGATGTCAGTCTTCTTTTTGATGATATCATCTAGTATGACTATACATTTGTATTTTTAAATACACTAGTCGATGATGATGATGATAATAATAGAGAACTATATCATTATTGACGAAGGTAATACGAATCTACAAGTAAATGATGTCATCGATAGAAAAATCTGTTCTTGACTGAAACATCTTTATATTGTTTCGTTGCAAAAATTCATTTGAAATTCAAAAAGAATAATCCAAATAATGATAACTGGGATAATCAGTGACGTTAAAAGAATTAAAATGTTACACAATTCAATGGTGAGAGTACATTATATTAAGTCTCTGAATACAATTAATCAGGTAATTCTGGTTACGGATAGCATTTATAGCATTTAATCATAGCTTTTTAAAAACAGTTTTCATCATAGGACCATTACTGAAGAGATGTTTCACTATAGTTTGGAACTACTAAACCCAACCGTAGTTGTTATCTTGACAATGTGGTCGAGTTTGTTTATTGTAATGACCGCCCCCAAATGCCTTAGTACGTCTGAGACTGGGGAGAGTCAACTCTCCGTATCCGAATGCTCTCACATGCTAGGGAAGTCCTACTCACTACATTCTCGTGAAGTGGATGTTGTTTACGAAATTGAGAGGACGAAAACCGAATGTCCGGTGCTTTAACTGGGTTGGTGGACAAGGAGAGTCCACCTACGGGAGTTGGAAAACCCTCATTCCAAACCAATGATGCACATGAGTTTCAGGATCCTGAGAGAACAAATGGCATATGAACCAATCGTTGGTCACCGGCTGCCATGAGATTGCATCTCCTTACGATGCTCTACTGCCTTGTGGATCAGACCTTCAGGTCGAAGGCTCTGGGTGTGGCCCCCTAAGAAAACCACCTGGTTCGGTTTGGGCACCTGGGCAGTACCACAGCCCTCACACATATCAAATGAGATCTATGTGGCGTATATATATTTGTACCAATATCTATGTGTTAAAATAAAAATAATTGTAATGGCCCACATTGGCTGAAAAATTTTTTTGTTAGGACCTACCATCCCAGCAAGTTGGTTGGATAGCGTGGTAAGGATTAAAACCAACTAACTCACGGTCTGGAGGCGAAGTCGAGCTCCCAAACTGATAAGGGTGTGACACCAGTGACATGTTCCCACAAGAGAAAAAGGGGGTTGGAAAAGGTCGAACTTAAAAACAACACTCCTCATCTTGCTCCACACATTCCTATTGCAAATCGTTAGATTTGGAAATCACAGTGCTGATAAATTTAAAGGCGTATGTGACTGTCCTCTAACAGTTGTCCTATGAACATTGAAGTTATGATCGCAAGTCATTGGAATCACCTACCCCTACTAAAATTTCCTATACATGAACTTCAAGAAGAAGTGTCCTCCTACCATGTGGGTCATTGAAAAGTGATAATTACTCTCATGCATTTAAAGAATTTGATATCATTTCGTTTATAATCAACTCCAAAAAACGTTAATATCCACGACTTCATCAAAAATGTGATGATGGTATCAATACGTGATTGAAGTAATTTTCATCATGAATCGAAACCGACCACCTAAATGTTTCAGTTAGTTATTTATTAAAAAAAGCCTTCTCATTATACAAATTTTACTCCAGTTCTTTAGGTCATAAATAAGTACTATGATTTAAAAATCTTCCTCAATTCGAAGATAAACTTTTACAATTAGATAAATTAAGTTTACTAAAATTTCATTTTCCAAAACAAAAAACATGATTTCCTTTACAAACCTGGGATTTAATGGAACTTTCGGAGAGAATACCATCCTGTTGGTTAGAATTTTTATGATGTTCATAATGATGATGATGACGGCGACGACGACTACAAGAATTGTCGTTAGTTACTAATGCGTTATTGTCATCATGACCATAATTCGATTTTTTAATACTTGTTGATAATACAGTTGGTTCAACAGTGTTTAATGCTAAGCAATAAGTCGGAGACGAAGCTGTTGAAGTGATTTTTGGAGATGATTTTGATTGATGAGTAATTGAATGGGATGAGATAACAGATGTGGTCATTGAGTATGATGATTTTTTGCGTCTATTCTGTTTTGTCTCATCAATCATTCGAGGATCATTATTAGATCGCTCTTCTGGCAGTGGACGATATTTAATCATTTTGGAATGATTCGATTTCGTTGTTAATATAGGTGGTGTTGTATAACTGACACGAGGTGGTAGCGGAGGTGGACTAATATCAGGTGGAGGACAGTATGGATGATTTACAGAGATAGTCTTATAATTATTATGATGATGATTATGCATTATATTCGGTGATATTGTTTTGTACATAGAATCATTACAAATTATATTAGAATCCATATAATGAGTAGTGTTAGATAATTTTGACTGATTAGATGAATGATTAAAGATTTGCTGAACAGATGGAATGGTAGTAGTAGTAGTGGTAGTGGTAGAAGTAAGATTATTATAACTGTTTTTTTCATGAATTTTATCGATTAATTTTGTTGATGTTAAACGATTACTAGTAAATTGATATTCAGGAACTGAAAGGCGTCGTAATTGTTTTTTAGATAGAATAGTTGATGTCTCCGATATTGATTTAGATTGATTAGAATTATGTATTAAATAGTCACCATTCAATTCGGATTCAGTTTTAGAATTACCAATTCTATCAAATTACAAAATGCAATATGAAAAAAAAGAAGAAAAATCAAACAATCTCTATTCATGGATGGTTGTTTGAATGAAAATTTTAACAAATATTAATGATAATCTACAATTGAAGAACATATGGAACTCAAAACAATTGTCTGTCAATTAATATCAAAGTTACAATCTTCAATATGAACGTCAACACAATTTTAATTAACGGAGCTGAAACACGGAGAACTATTACAATCATCATCAAGAAGGTACAAGTATTCACAAAACAATTGTCTACACAAGATACTAAATGTCCGTTGATCTGATACCATCAGCAACAACCTACTATGGGAGAGAATGAACCAGCTTCCAGCTGAAGAGGAAATTAGGTAAAGAAGATGGAAATGGATAAGACATACATTACGGAAACCATCAAACTACATCACGAGGCAAGTCCTAACTTGGAATCCTGAAGGGAAGCGGAAAAGAGGAAGGTCAAGGAACAGATTACGTCGGGAAATAGAAGTAGATATGAAAAGGATGAATAACAGCTGGAAAGGACTGCTCAGGACAGGATTGGATGGCGAGTGCTAGTGGACAGCCTATACTCGTCCACGAGGAATAACAGGCGTAAGTAAGTAAGTACAATTAATTAATTTGAACCTAGATTTTTTCTGGATTAAGTCCTAAAAAATAAGTGGTAACAAATAATTTTTTTTCATTAAACACATAAACATTTGCACAAGGAAGCACCAAAATATATGTGCATTACACAAATCACCAACTTTGTCTTAGGGCTAGAACACTGTCCAATCACCCGAAACGCAATTAGGTGGTTTTCTTAGGGAGACATTACCCAAGCCTTTGATCTACAGGTTTAATCAATAAGGCAGTGAAGCGACGTTAGGAGATGTAGTCCCTTGGCCGTCGGTGACCAACAATAGGTTCATACACCATCTGTTCCCCCAGGATACTGGAGCCCATGTACACCATTGGTTTGGAATGATGGTTTTCCAACGTCCCTGGGTGGGTCTTCCGTATCCACCAACCTGGCTTAAGCTCCGAACATTCGATTTTCGACCTCTCAATTTCGTAAACATCTGTGGTGCGAGAAAGCAGTGAGTAGGACTTCTGCTGCAGTTGCTGTATACGTGTAGTCATGTGAGAGCATTCTGAGAAAGAGAGCTGACTCTCCCCACTCTCGGCCGTACCAGGACATTTGAGGGTCGAGAATACCACCAGACTACATACTCTATTGATATGTTATACATAAGACTGGGATCCGTTTGTACCAAATATCCGATTCATGATCAAAAAGCAGTAAACCAGAGTAAGGGCTAGACACAGCTTTATGTGACACATTTGGAAGCGCTCTACACCCAGGAAGTCCAGAGTAGAAATCGATAATAGCAAGAAAATCACATATCTATTAGGAAGTAAGTTGAGTATCTGGCTACCTAAGTTCACTCACTGGTCAATCACATCATACATTCACTGGCCACATATCAGATCATGACATGCGATCTTATAAAATATGCTACTAGTAAAGTTTAAAGGTCGAAGAAGAGAACTTTATGTCAACCTAAAAAATATTATATGAATTTTAAAAGAAATTGATGGGAATTGGGCGGAAATAAATAGAAGGTTGAAAGTGGAGTTTGTAATATGTAGCTGAAACAATCAATAAAGGCTAGTAATGTCACAAGAGTCTATTTATAGATCGTATTAGAACAAGGGCGACTGAATGAACCTTTTACATAAATAAATAATACTTCAGGTTTCTTCAAGTTGATCACGAGAAGGCAGAACCTTGTATCTTCAGTTAAATTATTCTGCACGTCGTGTATATCGGAGAAAGCATACGCCAGATTGACGCAGTGCTCACTGTTTACCCTAAAAGGAAGGATAGAGACCTATTTTTCCTGTCATAAGGGCATCTGGTGAAAAGAGATCAACTAATTTATTTTCCTTACTTAGTACACTGCGCTTAAAACTTCAGAATTGTCCACTCGATGGTCTCACTACACATGAACAATGTTTCGAAGGTTTCTACGATCCGATAAATGACTTTCTACTGTGCATCGATTAGTTAATAAAAAACGATAAAATGGCTGAACAAGGAGAATATTTGTTGATCACTTACCTGAAGAGATTTTTCAAACTTATTCGTCCACTTTTACTGTGCTTTTGTTCAGTAGGGAGATTATTATTTGAAATGGAATGTGACGATGACTTTGAATCTTTGACTAAGACAGAATTATTTGAATGAATTTCTGGACGAGATTTCGAATGAGCACGTTCAAGTTTATCAATTGTTTTGTAGACTGAAGGAGAAGAAGAGAATAAAATAGAACCTGTGGATTTTTCAGTTAAGGGATTGGAGTTTTTTGTTTTACTGGAATTTTTATGCTGAGGATTATTAGACAACTTGTCACGAGTGCCGCTTTCACTACGCGGACGATGTGGTGGTATGGGGGGAGCAGAAGATGATGGGGAAGCATTTGTATCGAATGAATTAGAGTATGTGGTAGTAGTATCAGCAGTAGTAGTGGTAGTAGAAGTAGGGTAAAATGAACGATCTACGGCATGACGGAAACTAGTATTTTGCTTTCGACTTCTTAGAATTGGTGGTTGATCTAGCTGAAACTCGATGTCTATTTCCTCTGGATCTAAAAAATAGGGATAAGAGGACAAGAAGTGAAGATGATAAAGAAAAGGCGAAAATTCCACACATATAAGTAAAACAAGCGCAAAGATAACCAAATTATTTTTTTTTCAGTCAATCATGATCTTGAAATTGTTTAGGCCAACAAATATAATGGTCTAACAGTGATCTGTTCAAGATTTAAAGGAAATACCATTGTACTTAATCGTCAACTCTGTTTGTTTTATAATGATGAAGACTCAGTAGTTACTGCTACCAGATCAATGACACCAAATCAATTGAGCTTGATCATACTCGGTCAGTAGGATGTCCACCCTAGCTCTCAAACATACGAACGGTGTGTTTCGAAGGCAAGGTGCACAAGTCATTTTATGTTTAATTTGCTCAAACATTTTATACTACTTATATTTGCTTACAGTAATTTAATAAAAAACCATGCAAAACATGCATATATATGTATCTTGTATGTACTGATTAGTTTAAATGAAACATTAAAAAAAAGCAGTAATTAGATAGCCACAGCAACCTCTTTACATAAACCAAGGAGGGGGGAATACAGTGTATAACAAAAAAAATCACACAAATATATGCGTCTTAACGAGATGAAAAGAATGAAACAAAACTCGAATTATGCGAAACTACGATGTTAGAGTGATAGACAAAAATAGTATTATAGGTTAATTAGTTGACATGAAAAAAAATTTTTTTTAAAGTTATTATAATTAACCAAACAGCACACCATAACTGAGTTACACAAACAAATACTAGAAACTATGCAGAAAAAACTCATTTATGTGCAACTACACATAAACATTAACCAACACAACATTAGTAACTATGATGTATAATTGAAGAATTGTAGGACATGTGTTTTCTAGTTTACTGATGTATCTAATCAGGTCATTTATTTCTAGAAAGTATGAGAAAGACTTTTGAAAAAAATCTAGTACACTGTTGATTGAATATAGTAAAAAGAAAACAAATACGATATAACTAGATATAATAGAATATAGAATTCTAAAGATGCAAAGTTAGCAGCAGTGGCCTAGCCGTGAAAGTAATCGACTTTCAGTCAGTACACCATAGGTTCGAACTCATCTCCAACTATTTCAATCTGAAGAAAAACTGAGTAGCACTACTATCTTTCTCTCTAACCGAGAGCCTGGTTCGAAATCTCTACTTAGAAAAATAAGTTAAATTATTCATACGATAACAGAAGAATAGATTCACGACGATCTAATTGTATTATTAGTACTTAACAAGTCATCGAAATCAGTATTCCCACACACAGAGACGCACACAGAAAAACATATTGCTTAGGACAACAATTGATGATAACAAGGGTTGGTTATTTGGTTTCGATTGACCACGTTATTTATATCACACCCAATGCTAGTTATAATAAACTCATTCATCGAAAGCTACAAAACATTCATGTTTCGTGATGAGTAAAATGTCAGTAAGTTAGAAAACAAAGATTAAATGTCCCCAACTTCGTTTAATTGTATTCAATGGAGTAAGCATTACTGATACTCGCTGTTTAAACATTGAAATACAGAACTAGGTATGTTTACATCAATTAAACCTGTAATTGGATCTAGACTAACTCCACATTTCGATAACTTAATGATATGCCATCAAATGCCCTGGTACGGCTGAGAGAGGAGAAAGTCAGTTCTTCTCCTCCGAACGCTCTCACATGGTCACGTGCATACAACCACTACCAGGGAAGTCTTACTCACTACATTCTCGTATCACGGATGTTGTTTACGAAATTAAGAGCACGAAAACCGGATGTCCGGAGCTTTAACCGAGTTGGTGGATACAGAGAGTCCACATAGGGGAGTTGGAAAACGGTCATTCTAAACCAATGGTACAATGGTGCACTCCAGGATCCTAAAGGAACAATGGCGTATGAAACTATTGTTGGTTACCAACTACCATGGGGACTGCATCTTCTGACGTTGCTCCACCGCCTTTTGGATCGGAAGCTCTGGGTGTGGCCCCTTAAGAAAACAACCTATTTCAGTTCGGGCACCCGAGCAGTATCACACCCACACACAAATCAAGTTCATCGTATGGCGCATAACTATTTGATACCTCCTTGTACCAATGTTTATCTGTTTAAATAAATAATTTAATGATATCATCATCACAAAAGATAATAATTTAAATAGACTTTAAGTACTGATATATCAGTGAACTGTAGTGTATACACACATGAAGAGAGAACATATGACTAAATCAGAATTTCACCGTATTTATACATATAATGCAACATAACTAATTTAAACTATGCATTTGTATTTATGTGCGTTAAATGAAGATAGAAAATATAAAATCACAGGATATATCGATTAATCAGTGGAGAAAGATGAATACTAATAAGATGGTCTACATGAATCACTATCAGTAAATATACAACATAGAAAATGAGAAATAAACGTTTAATCAAGCAAAGTAAATAAGTAGTATAGATAGCAGTGGTAATAGTAGTATAAGTGGAGTGATTTAACTAACGTGATTAATCCAGGAAATGTTTAATTATAATAGATTATATATATATATATATATATATATATATATATATATATATATAAACTCATTCATGCATGCAAATAAAATGAGAATGATAAGTATTGATTATCGTCTACAATCTATATGTTGTATGATAATGCAGAAAGTCAGTCGACTGACTGTCATAGTATCATTTTTAATACGTTTCGACTCAACCGTTCAAGCTATAAACATTATTTACATTCTTTGTAGATGTGTATCTCATCATGGACTAATCAAAGTTAAGATGGTGTCATCGAATCCCGGGGAGTATAGTGTACAGCTGTTTCATTCCAATATATATGGAACTCGTCATGTAATGATACCAATCAATAACACCATCATATCAAAAAGAACACACCAGTTTTATATTGGATGACGGTGAGTTAACAAACAACGAATTACCGTCATATATACATCTTCAACTTTGTAATTTATACAAAAATAAATCATCAGATAGTATATTTATTAGTTACAACTGATAATAATGGCAAGCTTCCATGAATATCAAGGGAATATGGAACAAAGTGTGACTCAAATTCTTTGAAATCTTCAAAAACTCGGAGAAATTCATTGTGCAACACTGAAATTTGATATCTTAATTTGTGAATAAATCCTAGAGAGAGTGTGTTTGAGCATTTATTATTATTATTATTATTATTATTATTATTATTATTATTATTATTATTATTCTAAGCATACGTGGGCTTCTTTACAGATATACCGGAATATATCAGAAAATTGAAAATCACCGTTGTACACAAAAACAGACTAAAAATACCAATGAATCAGCCAAGCGATAACTACCCGATTTTAGGAATAATTTCGAAATAATGTGACGAACCTTAATAGTTAATTGTTCAAATAGGAGTTTACAATAAACGGAAGATGAAAACATAATAGTCCAGTTATCTAGTGATTATGAAACAAGAATACAAATAATAATAGCTCAATAAATAGATTCAACAGTTGTCATTTCTTCAGTCTTACTTTGATGATAAAATAATTAAAGTATGATTTCACTCTTGCAAAAAAAGAATACAAAGAATCACTTAAAAATTGACTTCTACTTCTACTATAATCAATGTGTGTTCAGGGAAAGTCACGTATAATAAAGAAACCAGTGAACATATGAAAAAGGAGCTAACGCGAAGGATAAATCTTTACACTTTTTAATACAACAGAAGGATAAAATATAAATTCAATGTAAACTAGTGAAATTTAAGGCAGGCATGTGTATGTGTGTAACGTTTCTTACAAAACTTGCTTTAAGAAGAAAACTGGTGTGCTGCATAATAGTTCAATATTTCAAAATCATTAGTACAAGAGATCTGTCGAGATTGTTCATTGGATATTTTACATTACGGATTGGCTTTAGTCAAACAATCATTACAAACCAAGAGATACTGACAATTATTTCTTCCCAACAGGGATTTATTAAGAGTGATCACATACTACCTCCCCACAAAAGACTGGAATCAGGATCTTTAGATTTCGCGACTGGGGCTTGTATTTTAAACCAATGATGAGACCCAGTGTCTATTAATTACCAAAGGCCTCTTAATTCAACATTGCGTGTGTTGGTTGGAGAAGGTTAAACCGATTTCCGTTCTTCTGACTTCGTTGCAAAATTGCTACAGAAAAAAGACGTTAAAGATTGATAGTCTAAACTAAGCTTAATCCTTTTGCTTACGATATTCATAACCACATTTTCGAATCTTGTCTCATTTACTTCGATCAGAGTAGTCATGTAATTCTCACAGAACGCAGAGAGTGACGTAGAAACTTGAGTACAATTTTTTTTATAATACAGCTCCACTATAGCAGATAAAGAATGACCATGATGATCAAATCTATACCTGAGTGAGTTTATTTGTAAAGACAATAGCTTGCTCTATTTGAATAGATTAGATTGTAAATGACATTATATACCTTGGAACTGGGATGATGAAATATGAACGATTACAGACTTCATTCACATGATAATCATACACAATAGTTCATTGAAAGTCTACAATCATCATAGCTCGTTTATTCCTGATTCGTAATTAATTTAAATCGTTATACAAATTTAAAATACGAATCATCAGAACGCTCAATCTACACACATAAGCTAAATAAGTGACTACGTAATTTCCAATGTATGGTGAATAGTTATGATCTTATCTAATAGGCGATGAAAACCATGACAATAAGGAGGTTTGTAGGTTCAGAATTTCAAGTTTCAGAGAGCCATTAATATACACTTTTGACTACGACTAAAGTGGTGTGCGTTAATTGATAAATTTCAGGAAAAGAATATAAATTCGAAGTAGATCAATAAATCTGTGTCAATAGCAAACGCGGTACAGGATTTTCCCAATATTTTAAGGAACCATAAATGTGATACATAAAAAAAGGCATATATCATATAAAAGTGCTACTTAGCCAATAGAAAATGAGATAAAA